CAGAAAGCAGTGAAGATTCTGGATTAATAAACCTTTCTAGACTCCCCTGTTTTAATGGTAATGAACTTTTTATGAGGATTAACCAGGCTGGTTAGCATCATGGAGAAACACCCTTTTTTGCTGATTTAAATCACAGGCTTGGAGTAGAGACTGGAATATAAAGGTATTGGGTGCATAAGTTCCACCAGTAGCTCAAATATTAACAAATCCCAGCTGGGCAAATTCACCAATAACCCACTGTACATTACCAAACTCTGAGATATCAAGGAAAAGGGACCTCTTGAATAAAACAGCTCACCTTCATGTCAACAGACCCAACATCAAACTCATTAGCTACTGACTGGTAGTTAATGTGTGGCTGGCAAGCTTCCAGGTAGTGTCAATCACATGCTCCATCCTGACACCAGTTACATTGCTGCAGCCTTGGGGTGAACTCTGTACAGATTTCTAGAAAAATGACCTTTGTCATTCTGCCCCCACTGCTGGTTATCCCATGTCTGCAGTATTATGTCCTACTAGTAACTGCCCATTCCCATTGCTCTCCTTATGTGACCGTTCTTCCTGTGTAACTGGCACTGCAAAAGTTGTCTCTGAATGTAAAGCCACTTGGCTGCATAATTTCCAGTAAACATGACCTTTCTCATCAGGCCGTCAGAATCACAAGACACAGCAGTGTTTTTGTCCACATGACCTGTCAGTGGTTTGAAAGTGGTGCTGACCCAGGAAGGCCAGGTGAATGACAGGATAAAAGAGTAATCACGGTAAGTCTCAAAAATCCAGTGGCTTCCATTGCATATGCCACAATGTTTAGATGTCAGGGAAAAAGTGGCAGAACACTGCACCATTAAATGTCTGCACTGCTTGCAACATGGAATGGATGCAAAGTTTCCAGCAGTAAGTAGTTTAAGTTGACCACACTACTTTCAGAACAGATTTTCCTAATATTTGACATAGACAAACATAATCCAAAATATTTTCAAGTGCAGACAAGCCTTCACACTCCTCACCTGGGCATTATTTTAATCTATCTGTAGGTCCTTATGTTCTCTCTGTGTAAGACTCTAGGATATGATTTTTCCTTTGCATCCACACAGCTAGAACTATGGTTATCTTACTGATGATTACTGAAAAATCCTTCCCTCTGGCCTTGGCTAATGCAGTTTTGTATACATTCATGTCGTTGTTGCAAAGATAATTTTCTTAGCCTAGTAGAGCTCAGTCTTTTACAGCAGCAGGCTCAGTGCTGGCAATCTGATTGCATTGCGGGCCACCACTTTCCTCCAGCAGGGAGGGAGGTGGAGGGGATCACAGAATCACAGAAAAGTAAGGCTGGAAGGGTCCTCCAGAGGTCATCTAGCGCAACTTTCTACATGAGACAGGATCATCCCTATCCAGGCCTACCAGCCTAAACAGTGTGTACCTGCTGGCTGACATTGCTCCACCTGACATCAGAAGAGCAGCGGCCAGAAGGCTAGAATGATCGAGACAAACTGAAGAAGTGAGACACCCACTGTACAACCATCCCACAGCACACAAACGTCCCAAGTCACACAGAAGCTTCTTCACCAGCATCCAACCTCTCAATGCCACACACAAAGAGACACGACTACAGATGTGAAATGACAGATGGAAGAAAATACCTGACAGCAACAAAATGTACACTTCAGAGGCTGACTCCTTACCACTGGGGGCTGACGAACTATGCCAAAGGTGGCAACGTCTCAACTGCCTACCTGTTGGAGTTGGACAGTCCAAGAAACTAATGAAAAGTGGGGCTATGCCCACTGGTTCAACCACCTGTGACTGTGGCACAGAGCCTCAGACTATGCAGCACCTGCTGCAATACCTGCTGCTCAAAGGCACATGTACAATGAAACATCTTGCAAAGTACAATACAAGCATGTGTAACAAAATAGACAAATGTGGTTGTAGAGACACAAGAAGAAGAATCCTTATCCAAGCCATCCTATACAAATACCTTGTCTAACCTGTTAGCAAAACTACACAGGCAACCTTAAACACAACCAGACATAACAAGACATCTGCCACAGGTAAAGCAGGGGGACCATGGTGGCCAATGTTATATTGCAGCAAGGTTGTTAAATTGTGTGGTATGTTTTAAAAATTCTGTATCACTAACATAGCTTGGCAGAAGGTGGGGTAGATTTACACCTCTAGACTAAACTGAGGGCAGTGTGTTTGATAAGCAGGGATGTGTGCAGTGTCCCTATTAGATAAAGGAAGCTGAAGAGGATTCTGTGCCCTGAACTCCCACAGTGAGAGTAATTAATCACAGCTAAAACTCTCAGTCCATTAGCTTGGAGAGTACCCTTCTGCCCTGTGCAAATGTCTAATAACCATAGCCCTCTCTGAGCAACTACTGAGCAGAGAATAGATGCTACATTTGCCTACACAGTATCTCATTCTTTGAAAGCTTTTTGAGAGACCTGGAATGTAAAACGTGCTGTGATGTTAGACTTGGTTGGCTGGTGTGCTGGGGGGGGTCGCCTACCCATGGGTTAGAATCTAACCTCTACAGCATTAGTGTAAAATTCAGAGTATTTCCATGGACTCTGCTGGAGTTAGCAGTGTAAAATGGGGAATGACTGAGATTGAAATTTGGCAGATGCATATATGTAAACATGATGCAGGACTAATGTTGATGCTGCTGGCCCATAATCCCCTGTGCCATAGGCTTCATCCTGTCACTCTAGGAGCTGGATCCAGTCCATGGACTATAGATTTAGCACCACTTGCCTAGCCTATCACTTTGACGTGATTACCCTTTACTTTGCATTCTTCCATTAGCTCCGTGTTCTCTATCACATCAAACATATGATATTCGTCTCCACTTTCAAGGCTCTTCTAGGCTTTCCTTCATCCTTTATACCATCACTATCAAGCTGTTGTGTCCTGCCTCTGATTAGCCCATGATTGCTACATTTTCAAAGAAGCAGTAGCATAACTTGAGAGGTGGAGGGAGTGATCAGGGCAGCAACTGTTTGTTTATGGCAGGGGATGGGGGGTACAAAATACCTACTATTGCGGTGGGGGCTGACTGTGCCGCTGCTATTGGCACTGTAGCAGCTGGCCACTTCCCTGCGTGCTCCTCGCATAGAGCTGCTCTGCTACACTTGTACATAAAGGACTTTTATGCTTTCTCCCTTGTTTTCCCTCGAACTTGGTGGGAGGACTCCTTTGTAAACTTGAGCAAAACTGTCTCATTATATTCCATTAGATCTGTAGGAAGATTTGTAGGTTGTGATGCCTACAAAAAACTAGACAATTATTAGGCTGCTGACCAATATTTTTTCATTGTTTCCTAGTATTGTCCCATATGTGTTTATTCGGCTGTTGTTGCTTGTATTATATAGTGTACGACCTCTGTGCTTGTGAGCTTTCTTTTTCGTTTGTCTAGTGCAGCAGTTCTGAACCTTTTTCAGTTGATGTACCCGTTGGTTTTAGAATGAGACTTCACGTACCCCCTTGGAGTGACATTTCCAGTGTGAGGTTGAGGCATGGAGCAGGAGTAGGATATCTGGTTTCACGCACATGTGCATTTTATGGCAGTAAAACCCTGGCAATTTCAAGTTGTTAAGACTTTTTTTAGGCCCTTCAACCCGTGTTAGACAATGAATGAAATATATCTTACTTACCCCCGATGAAGCTTCACATATCCCCTGGGGGTACATATACCCCCAGTTCAGAACCACTGGTCTAGTCAGAGGTGGGGAAGTCCTAGTTTCTGTCTAAGGTTCCTACAAATTATATAATAGTAAATAATAAAAGCAGAACGCACATTTATATATGTGTTGCATATATATACATACACACACACATCAGATTAAATACATCAAGATAATAATGAATCACCAACTGGGCACAATATTACTCAATTAAGAGTGCCCCAGGCAAACAGCAAAATTTCTAGGGCCACACCTAGCTGGAAATCTGTTTATCTTTATTGTGGAGGTAGAGGAGATATAATGGAGTAATATTTCACTCCTTCACACCTGCCCTCCTTAAGTCAGTAATGCAGCATTACCAAATCTTGCAAACTTTTCAAGGGTCTTGCAACATTTGGGGTTTTTCGTAAAGCTGTAATGTCTGAACTAAAGAAGGCAACAGGAAAACGAGTTTATTGTTTAAAGGCAAGTTGCCAGTTGCACTGGTTACAGAACGAAGCTTGAAAATGTGATGTGGGTGCATCCTGAAGACTTGACCTCCCCTCCACCAGAAACTGCAAGAAAAAAAAGAAGAAGAAATTGTTTTAAAATACCAGCTAGACTCTGGGCCCTGCTACAAGTTCAAATTAAAATGGGATAGAAACCAGCAACGGAGTTTTCTGTTACACTTTTTCAAGTGCTAACTTTATATATACTGGGTTGGCTCTCTTTTTATAGCTAGATAGTCATTTTTATCATGTGATAATGTCTTGGCACAGTTCACCAGTGAGCTGTATAACAATGTGCACAGCAGGACCCTTGGTGTTTTAAGTCCGGCTTCGTCATCAGTGTGCTAAGCTTTCCCAGCTCACAACTTGCCCAACTTGTTTGGCAACCCCCTCCAGGGCATGCCAGGATGCATCAGAGCTGCCAGGCCAGCGCCTACTGGCACCCACTTCTGCCAGTGCCCGGGGCTTTTCTTGCCTCCTGGCTGCAAAGGGGAAGCCTCCATTGCCTTTAAAGGCCTTTCCAAACCCCAGCATCCCTGGGACGCTTGGGGGCTGGGCACTGGGGGAGGGTTGCACCTTGCAGACCAACCCAGTGGCAGCCAACAACTGTTGCAACTCCCCCCGCTCTCGCCGCTGCTGCAACCTAACCCCTCAGGCAGCTGAGCCAACCCACGTGACCACCCGGCGCGCTCCTAGCCCCGCCTCTTGCGCTCGGCGCGGTGGCCCCACCCCCCCAGCCTCGCCCGCCTCCCTCCCTGCGCGCTGATTGGCCACGGCGGGAAGCGCCCCCGCGTAGTCCCGCCCTAGAGCACTAAGTGAAGCAAGCGCCGGCAGGGCCAGTCGGAACCGCGCCCCGAGCCCAGACAGGTCGGCCGGCGTTGGGCTGCACCACTGTCGCGGCGCGGGGGGAGCGGGATTAGAACGCGGCGCGCTGGTCTCATGGCCGCGTCGGCGGGCGCGGCGCTGGGGCCGTTGGTCGGTGCCATCGACCAGGGCACGAGCTCCACGCGCTTTCTGGTGAGCGGGGCACCGGCCGGCGCGCGGGGGGCGGGGTGGGGCGGAGCGGGGGCTGCCGGCGCGAGTCTGATTGGGCGGGAGGTGCGCGGAGAGGGGGCGGGGCGACCCGCCCGGATCCCTCCGATTTGTGCTGGGGGGTCCCTGCCGCCAGGCGGGCTGGCGTAAGAGCCAAGAGCTGAGGGGGCCTAGAGAGAGATGAATAATAGATCTGCACGTACATGCATGCGGGGGGAGTAGGTCAATAAATATACACGCTACCACGCGCACACATGCATATAGAGCAATAGCTATATGCGCTAGACGCGCATATATGCATACATACATGTAAAATAGATCATAGATATATACACACAGATACATAATATGCACTACACACAAATAGCTTAATAGAAATACATACATATCCATATAAAATAAATTAAAAGATATATACACTGACATGCACACATACATATGAGTATGTGTACGTGTGCAGTGTATATATCTGTTGATCTCTATATATATGTACATGTGTATCTACATGTGTGTGTGTAGATCAGTAGATACACACACTTTTTTGCTTAGAAAGCAGCCTGTGACCTCTCTCCATTTGTATCTCTGTCTCCCTCCTTGGAGGTTTTGAAGCCCCAGCTAGACAAAGTGTTGGCTGGGATGACCTAGTTGGGGGTGGTCCTACTTTGAGCAGGGGGTTGAACTAGATGACCTCTTGGGGTCCCTTCCAAGTCTCATTTTCTGTGGTTCCTCCCCTCCCTGCCCCAAGGTCACAGCATTGAAGGCAAGAAGGGAACTGAAGTGATTTAATCTGACCCTCAAAAAGACAAAGGAAGAAAAGCTCCTAAGAGAAGCAAGACCCAGCACTGCTTCAGGACCCATAGGGTGCCAATATTTATTTAAACCCAGAGCATGGTGTTATTTTTAAGCCCACTCCCTCCCCTTCTGAGGAGGTTAGAGTCGTGCACTGACCACTCTGACCTGGGCTGGGAGGTGGCAAGGTGTTAGTTTGCAGCCCCTCACTACAGAAAGGTTGTGGACAAACTGGGGGGAGTGCAGAGGAGAGCAGCAAAAATGTTGAAGGGGGCTGAGGCACATGATTTATGAGGAGAGACTGAGGGAGCTGGGATTATTTAGTCTGTAAAAGAGAAGACTGAGGAGGATTTGATAGCATCCTTCAACTGCCTGAAGGAGGGTTACAAAGAGGATGGAGCTAAACTCTTCTTAGCGGTGGCAGATGACAGAACAAGGAGCAAGAGTTTCATCAAGGGAAGTTTAGTTTGGATATTAGCAAGGATGTTCTCACTAGGAGGGTAGTAGAGCACTGGAATAGGCTACCCAGAGAGGTTGTGTAAGCTCCAGCCTTGGAAGTTTTTAAGACCTGGCTAGACAGAGCCCTGACTGCAATGATCAAGTTGGGGATGGTCCTGGTTGGAGCAGGGGGTTGCATTAGATGACTTCCTGAGGTCCCTTCCAACCCTAATTGTCTATGATTCTGTGCCATTCAGAGGGTTAAAGGCAGACATGGCTCTGAGAGGGATTTAGGAGTTGACTGGAGAGTGGTGGTTGCCTAGAGCTGGTTGCCACCTGGTTTCTCTCCTGTGTCCAGGCAATGGAAGAGGAGTAAGAGGGATTATGGAAGTGGCTGCCAAATGGCCCCCACTTCACCTGCCACAGGTTAGAGGGTTAGGTGTGTGCTGTGTTAGAGTGGATGGTCATCTTACGTAGAGCTTAGATAGTGGCTTTGTCTGGGATGGTTCAAATAGGCATGATCTTGCCTCAGGCAGGACGTTGGATGAGATGATCTCTGAAGGTCCCTTTCAGCCCATCTCCTCTCTGATTCTGTGGATTCTACTGACAGTCAACTTGATTGATCAATTAGCATATTTACAACAGTGGCCCTAGAAGTGCTGGATGTCTTGTTTGACCTGTTTTCATATTGCAAACACAACTCCCATTGGTGGCCTTATGCCAAAGTTAAGGACTTCACATATTTTGCTGATAGGAGTAAATTTAGAAGAGTTTTGTATTGGAAAGATGCCAGGCATGGTTTTTACTCTTACTTGAGTAGTCTTGACTGGAGTGGGGAGGAACCTCGTTATACGTACAAAGTGCCATTAAGTGTGCATAGTACGCAAACAGGAAAAAAACACAAGCTTTCCTTCTTTTAGCAGGTTGCCAAAGAAACATTCCTGTTGCGGTCTGGTTCATGTTGCTGAGTTGCTGGAGATTTAAGGGACTGGGCTGGTGTTGAGTACCTTCTTGACCTGCATCACAAATATTTCTCTGTGCCCTCTGCTTTATGAAATGTCAAATGGCAAAATACAGATTCAAGGGCAGAGGAATTTCTGACTGAGGAATGACAGTAATATTAGCATTACCTTGCATGTCCCATCAAGGACAGCTTCTTGAGAAGAAGGGAGGCAAGAACTTTCATTGATAGTTAGGCTTTGTCTGCTTTCTTTGCACCAATAAGGTGACGTGACATGGGTGTCTCTAAGCAGTGTTAATTTAACTTAAGAGAAATTATATTGCTAGAAGAAATTCCAGGTTGGGGGACCCGTACAGCCATTCAGCCGGCAACTGCTCTGTCTTCCCTGCTCCTCTGCTCTCCCAAGACCAGGGTGATCCTAATCTTAGGGAAAACGTGCACTGCTCTAGTTCTCCCATTTTCAGGACTCCAGTCTTAGAAGCAAGCAGGGGGCTCATAGCACTGCTCCCTTTGCTCAGCGCCCACTGCAGGTCCAAAGCCTCTTGTGTGTTTTCACTGCAGACTCCCAGTGTGTGGAGGATGAGGAGTATGTGAGGATGAGGCAGGCAAGGCTCCTCTTCTGCCCTTCCATCTCCCCTCTTCCCAGTCTTCGTGAAGGATGGGAGCAGCTGCCCCCTCCTTGCCTTCCTCAGACTGGGGTGATCTTAGTTTCTGAAAAGAACAGGAGCCTGTCCCCATGGCTTCACTCCTCCTGGTCATCTGGAACAGTTAAACTGCAGGAGAGTATACAGATCTTCATTTTCCCTGGGAGAAACTCTCCTGGGACTATCTTTTAAGTAGTTGGAGTTGGGTTATTTTTTCCCCGGAGCTGCGGCTTCTGCTTTGGGAGTAAAAGCTGGAATGGCTGTGCGCTTGTCATCTCTACCAGGGAAAAAGATATTCTCCCAGTAGGAATGGATCGTCTGCATGTGACCTTGGTGATATTTCTTGCTTATGTGAGTTTAGTAAATGTATGAATCCTACATTACTTAAACCCATGGGTACTAAGTTCTGTTTCAAAGTACAGATGGAAAAGTAGCAAAGATGGGATAGACCAGGGGTTTTCAACCTTTTTTTAACAAGTGTACCCCTTCTGGTGGCGGCATCTGGACACAGGAGAGCTGCTCACACGCAGGGGGGAACTTCCACATGGCAGCCACCACCCTGCACTGCTGCTGCCACCACCCACCTCACCGCTACTTTACCCAGCTTTCCCACGGCCTATTGCACGTGCAGCTCCATAGGCTGCTGATGGGCCTCACATCCAGCCAATTGTATGCCGCCCATCAGCAACCCGCATAGCTGCTGACTGGGTTTGCCTATGTGGCCTGCAGAGGGGCACCACTGCCCTTGTGCCCCCTCCCCTGCAAGCCCTGCTCCTGGGAGATAGTGGCATGGAGTGGTGGGTGGCGGTGGCCACCATGTGTGAGCTCCCCCACCCCACGTCCACCCGCAGAGGGGCACCGCTGCCCTCACCCCACTTGCCCTGCCTGCCTGCACTTACCCCCTATCACCTTTCCAACTACCCCTAGGGGTATACTTACCCCGGTTGAAAACCCCTGGGATAGACAGTTGCTTCTTAATGTCATGCTTTTGGTCGCATATATAGTCTGTCATCTGCAGGGATCTGGGTTTTCTGCTTGCTGCAGAAAAACATGGAATTTCTTCTTTAACAGAGAAAAACCAAGAATTTTCTCTTTTAAAGGAGAAAATCATGGATTTTCCCCTTTGCGGCTCAGTGCAGGGACCCAGCGCAGGAGGGAGGGAGTGGCATGCTGTAATGGCTGCCAAGGTGAGGCATCCCCTATCCCCTTGGCAGCAGTGGGGGGTGCCATTGCCACTGCTATTGCCATCACTGTGCCTCACTGTGGCAGCACAGTTGTCCCTCCAGTGCTGGGTCCTGCCTGCTGGGCTGCAGCGGCAGCTCCTGCCTGGAGCTAGTCCAACCCTGCTGCAGCCCCACACCCTCCTGTGGGTGTAGAAATCACAGGGAGCATGTGACCTGCTACTGTGTCACTTGTGCCTCCTACCCCTTTCCACTGTCACCTGTGCCACTCCCCCCCTTTCTCCACACATCCATTCCCTTCCTCACATACTTTGAGGTGAGGTTCAGTGGGTCCGGAGTGAGGAGCACCAGCAAGGGCCCGGGGGCTGCAGGTTGGGAGTGAGGGCCACCGGCAGGGGCAGGGCACTAGCATACAACAGCTGTTCAGTGCTACAAAATGGGGATGGGGAGGGAGAACAGGCACAGCTGGACCTATATCTTGGTGAGTGAAGGGGACAAGGAGAACTTTGATCTTTTTCCATGATAAAAAATATAAATCAAACACCAAAATGTATAGGTATTTAGAAATTATTTTATTATAGTGATTGAGGTACAGATAGGCTTCCAAATTTGCTTTATACAAGTAAATATATCAATAAAACATTGTGTTCAACTGATACATACATACAGTTATTGGTATTTCATTTTAATCACGGAAAAAAACGAGGTCTTGAGGGTTTGTTTAAATCAGAGAATTTGCAATTTCTAAACAGAGAAAACCATGCTCCCTGGTCTTATGACATGGAAGTAAATAAAAAATCATCACCCCCCTGACTAAAGAAAAAAAATGAAAAAA